ATCACCACCACTACCACCATCATCATCATGTTCATGTGCATCATCATCATCATCGTCATCATCATCATCATCACCTATTCCCAATACTATTAATGCTATGGCTATTAAAGCGATATACATATCACTATTCTTCTTCTTGTTCTTATTACATGAAGTGTGGTCCTGACAGGTGGCCATGCCTTACGATGTTTCTCACGGCTTCGGGAAGAGACGGCAGGCTGCACAAGCATGCGGTGAAGTGCCGTTCGAGAAGCAAGTGGCTTCCTTGTGCCTGCAGAGAGTCTACTGATGCAAGAATATACTGACAGTAGTCGGACTATTTACCGATAGTACCCCTCCCTCTAGTTTTGTAGTCCGTCACCGAGTGTATACTACGATATACCCCAAAACCTTGTTCAAGTTATTTTGGCTACTACGCCCAAAGCACCTGTAGTACCCTTGTGGAACCCGTTTACAGGAAGGTTTTCAGGGACTCTAACCCTCTACTTACTACTTCTTGGTGGCAGCAGCATCGGCTTCGAATGGTTCTGCTCGCTACGACCTTGGAGGAAGAAAGAACTTTACGTGGCTTGAGCTGAAAAAAAAACGAGCATCTCCTGTTTAGGGTTTGGGGCTTAGGCCCAATGCCACGGGTCTACACAAACAAAGTCAAACGTTGTTAGTTTTTGAGGCTTCCCGCGTTGACAATGAAATCTGGCGCCTTCACTGGAGTTAAGATGCCTTCTGAGTACTTATGTGTCATTTCCCTAATCAGTGTCCACCTAGGTTGATGTGTATTGACACAGAGAGAGTTGCATGCATTGACTCGCACCCCAGATCCTAAAGCCTCATTCCGAAAGCGAACCTGAAGCCGTGTCGTTCAGATTCGCTGGGAAGCTCGGCGCAACCACTGCCTAGCTGAGACCTCAGAGATCTGTTGCTTCTCACAAGGGTTAGGCCAAGGGTTGTTAGGGGTTTCCTGTAATGGTTAATGCAAGGGTTGCTATAATTATTTCTATAGTTTATAGGGAATAGTATACTGGTTACGACAGTCGAAAATTCAGCTTGAAGCCTCCAATCCCTTCATCAGATCTGCTAGTTACGAGAACGAGAAAAAGCCTACTTCGTGAGTTTGTTAAGGTATCCCCCTATGTACCTACGACCAGTACCATTGCTGGTGCTATTCCTCTTGGGATTTCGTTCTCGCCGAGCCCATGCGATTATTCAGTCTCATCGTGATTGTAAGTGATAACGGCGATGGTGGTGGGAATGGTACGCTGAAGTTGCCGTGATGATGAAGGTGACGACGTGGCGATGAGGGAATGGTGGCGATGACGGAATGGTGGTGACGACGACGATGTTGATGGTGATGTTGATTGCTATTTCTGCTACGTTGCGACTCAATCCCGGTACATGTAAGGTCTCCCACGGTGTGTCTCGGCACTCCGAGCCCTCGCCGGTGTCGGGTCCTCGTACAAATCTGTTGGCAGGCTTCAATAAAGACAGCCGGCGAAGCACAGCAATAGTAGCAGGACGCCAGCCATTGTTACCAATGCTAGCAACACTGACAAGAAGAGTGACAAATCCTCAATGAGAATGGCAACAACAAAACTTGCAATCGGCATCGTCGTCGGCTTCGTCGTCGTCGTGGTAGTAGTTGTAAGTAGTAGTAGTAGTA